TTCACTTTAGCTTTCACATTTCTCTTGCACTGGTGTTTGATGAGTGATGACATTCTTATGAAATTTCTTTCTTTATAACAAAACTGTTGAAATTGGTCTAATGATGCCATTTAGGGAGTTGAGGTATCTCTGGAAAGGCCCTGGAGGAGGGAGACCATGCACAACCTTGTTAAAGAAACTGCTGGGATTGATTTCAATGAATTGGGAAATGATCTTGAGGTTGCAAAGCAAGTTACTCTGGGTACCCTTGGAAAGAATCTTGAAAACAAGGATAAAGGCTCCATTGAAGCATGCCAATCCATTGGCCACCTCCTTAACGAGGTTGATGGGCTTCACCATTTTTCTTCCTGACATATGACTCATGAGCATCCATTTTTTTTATTCATTTCATTTGATAATGCTGTTCATCTTGCAAGTAATCACACTTATTCTTTTGAGGTGATGATCTATATATTGACATCCCTTTCTGATTGCATTTTTTGCATGCTATAGTGTCAAATTGACTTGCATACACTAACCAAATTGTTTTTCTTTTGTTATTTAGATTTTTGAAATTTTTGTAGAACCAAAGCTCATCCAACCTACATTTGTTTTAGACTATCCAATTGAGATATCTCCACTGGCCAAATCACATCGAAGGTAGAAACATTTTTAAAAAAAATCAAATAATGCTATTTGCTGTTATTAAAGTCGTTGAGTTAAACTACCATGAAATATTAATCTGTTAGAACTTAGGATTCATAAAGGGTATATCATTCTTCGACAACTTTCTACTACTTAATGAAGATAATATTTGTGGTTATCAATTGGCTTTCCCTTTTCTGTCATCACAGCAGTAAAACTATCCAATCCATCGAGGGAATTGTTCCTAAATTATTATAATTGAGTTCTACTGGCACTTGAAATGCTTCCATGATCTTTCTTCTGCCCTTGAGCCATTCCCCTGTTCCTTCATTATGTTGACAGCGAGAAGGTTATTCACATATGGAAAGATAAACTCAATATTGACTTTCTGGGTTTATGGTTTTGAGATTTACATTTATGGCTTAAGAGAAACTATTCTTTTCCTTCTTCTAGCAGCTAATATTTATGAAAGGATTGTTGATATTCATGTTTGACTACATATTTTCTGGCATGCACTGATAAAATTTATTGTAAGGACATCATAATCAAACTCAATGAGAAAGTGATACACGTTTTCTGTTTCTAGATTATTATCTTCTTACACTTGATCCTCTATTAGGTCTGCAGGTTTGACTGAGAGATTTGAACTTTTCATCTGTGGTCGTGAGTTAGGCAATGCATTCTCCGAATTGACTGATCCTATTGATCAGGTAAGATTCCAAGGTTTTCAATCTTTTTCGTGTTCAAGCTGCATAGCTTATGTAGATTTTAATGAGTGTAAACTATAGTGTTTGTCATCATCAGCTATTTCTCATCATAAACTGCTTGGGAACAGGAGAAAATAAGCAGATCCTAGTAAGATGAATATAAAATACTATTCTCTGTAAGTTTTGAAGAAGGCCTAGTTTTTGTGGTTGTCAGTTGAAAAGAGTTTATTTTTCCTGTTCTTTTGCTGTATCTGCAATTGCACTTCAACAAGATGGATGGCACACTTGATAACATATCAGCAGGCAAACAAGTCAAACTTGGCGCTTCATTATAATTAAACTGGTGCTTATTTTAATATATGCAGAAGATTTGAGTATTTTTCGTTAATCTGTACCAAACACTACCAGAAATTTACATTGGGGCTCTGTTCATGACAGCTTGTCCCGAATAAGAATGAAGTTTAATGATTATTTGTGGACAATTTAACTCAAAAACTTGTCTCAACTTAATTATTGAATCTTGAGTGGTTGGATGTAAATAAAATGGTTGCATATTTTGTACTTGGCAGAGAGGACGCTTGGAAGATCAAATTAGACAGCATGAAAAAAAGAGAGCAGCTGTATCGACAAATGATGATAAGAAGGAAGGAGTGGAAAATGAGGATGACTTGTATGAAGTGACTCTTGATGATGACTTTTTAACAGCTTTGGAATATGGAATGCCTCCAGCTTCTGGAATGGTATTGCATTCAGTCTGCGTGTCTTTCTATAGTTGTGGGAATGCCCTAGATAAGAATGAAAACTGTTTTTTACCAATTGAAGCCATGAATTATGTCCAATGCAATAAATAATTCTTTTGTCTTGAAAATAACTCGATAGCAGGTCGAATTCCAAATTTATGTCATTAAGGAAAGTCGTTTTTGGTTTATAATAACCATTTAAATTCATTTTAAAATACTATTTTAAGAAATACAGTGTTTTAAGGTCAAATTATGATTTCATTGTACGTATTGTCATGTCTAAATTTTTATCTTTCAATTGATGTTTCAACGTGTTATTGCATTTCTTATCGAAGAATTATGAAGTAATATAATTGTGATTTTCATTAGACATATGAATTATTAAGTATTTGGGAAACTTTAGTGCATGTTTGAGTGATATATGTATAATAATCAACAATCACGGTGTATGCAAATCAATGTTATCACTTCTCAGTATTGAGTGTTAATCTCTGTTGACATTATTTGTCCCACAAACGGTGGAAGAGCAAATTGTTTTTGTTGCCTGCTGTAGCTTTTGTTATGGATTTTTTTGCTTCTTTTTAACTGCCATTTACGAAGGGAATATTCTTTCCAGGGACTTGGAATCGATAGGCTCGTGATGCTTTTGACAAATTCTGCCAGTATTCGAGATGTTATCGCCTTCCCCGTACTCAAGGTCCAGCAATAGTGATATGTTAGTGAGATTACAGTTCTCTCCATCACCATTTGCTTGTTTCTAAATTTCATTGTTGAGTAGCCTAAATTACATTTGGATTCTCTGTGTACCACAGAACAAGATAACCTTAAAATTACTCCCTCCTTGTCAAAGTATCTATTTGGGAAGTTTTGATTTGTATCAAAGCATTTGTTCCTTAAAAATATTTAGAAAGGATTAATTGTTCTTTTCCAACAATACTTTTATTTATTGTTATCTTACCTAAATACTATAATTAATTCACAACTATACTAGTCTTTTTGTTACATGAAAATAAAAGAAGCTAAGACCTAATAAAGTAAATAGAAGATGCATCTGCAAAAAGCCACTAATTCAATTTCATAGGTAGCTGACGAAGAATACAAAGTTTATCCAACTTAGCCACTCCCATCTTAGCTAGGGAATCAGCACAAAAAATTCTCTCTCAAAGTATACTTAACAGAGATACTCCAATCCAAAGAAAGCAAAGATTGGATATACTTAATGATGGCATACTTATGACAGAGAACAACATCACCAGAAATAAGATTAATAACTTCAAAGCAATCTATCCTGCATTGCAGGTTCCGATTAAGCTTCATCCCAAGCTTGGAGGCCATTTAAACCAAGAAGCTCAGCTAGGATGTTTTCACAGTGGCCAATATTCACAACTATACTTTTAAATCTTAAATGATTATTTTTAATACTGGAGTGAAAAATGATGAATAGATGCGTAGCATAAATTTATTTATTTATTTTTATTATATTACAAAAGTATAATATTAATGATATAAAATTTTATCATTTGATATTTTCATAGTATTTTTTTAAAAAATTATATATAAAGAGAGAAAGAAATTATAAGTAATTTATATTTAATTTTATCAACCAATTGTGTGGTACAAATAATCTAGTTATACTAGAAGAATAATTTAATAATTTTAAAGTTAATTGACTGCATGAATTAAATAAAAAGAAAAAGTCTAGCTATTATGTTAATTTTAAATCTAAAAACTCAATAATGTTTATTTGTGATTCACCGATGAATCATATAATCAAGATATTGATTATATGCTAAATTGTATTTTTAATCTTCTATTTTTCGTGTTTATTTAATTTTAATTCTCTAATATTTAATTGTGCAATTTTAAAGAGTGTTTGTTTTCCTTTTTAAAAACAGTTTTCTGTTTTTAAAAATAAAATTTAATATAAATTTGTATTATATTATATTTTTAAAAATAAAAAAACTGTTTTTAAAATAAAAATCAAACATATCCTTGGTTTTTTTTTATTTTTTAAATTAAGCAATTTTTGTCTTCTCATTAGGTTGTTGTCTAATTTTTGACAATGATTATACTGTCTGTCAAAATTAGTTATCGGTAATTTTAAGAATCTCAACATGAAAATTCTGGTGCATCAAATGAACTGGTGAGTCAAGATATTGATCATATAAGTTATTCTTATTATTTTTAGTCCTTATATTTATTAAATTTATTTTAATAAATACTATAAGCACATAAATTTTTTAAACAAAAATATTAAACAAATAAGAATTAAAATATAATAATCACAATTTTTTAGAATAACTTTCTCAGAACATGGGCAACAAAATGGATGGCTTTCAAACAAATTGTTTCCAAATAGAAAATAGAAAGAAAAACTGAAGAAATAACCCCTAGCAATTCATCACATATTGGATGGTAAAACAAGTTTAATATAACCAACTCAATTAAAAATTAGAGTATTAATAACAATATTTAATATATATATATATATATATATATTATTAATTAAATTTATTAACAATTATAAATAATTTTTTAAAATATATAATACTGCATAAGATAAAAAAAAGTATATATAATAAAATTTTATTAAAAATTAAAAATTTTGATATAATTAAATATATTAATGCTATTAAATGTTGCAAAATTTTATTATATATAATATTATATAGGTTAAAAAATTAAGTTATAGAAATATGATTAAAAATTATTAAATTAAAAATAAAAATGTAATTTTAACAATTATTTATTAATTTTGTATTGACACACAACGAGATTAGTAATTTATTAAAAAAATTAGTCTTTAAAATATTATTAAAAAATATATGCGTTTACGAATATTGAAAGTTTTTTTTTATATAATTTTAATAATTTTTCATTAATGACTAAAAATAATTTTATAAAAGTAATAGCAGGAAACAGGGAGGACAAGAAACAGCTTAAAAAGGATTAACTACATGTTTAGCAGTTCCAAGTCTGAAACCCTACGCTACCTTGAGTTCCACTCACTGTAGCAAATCGAAGAGAAAATGACAACATCAACAGAGACAGAGAAGAAGCAGGAGGAGGAATCGGAACAAGTGGTGACTCCATGGGAGGTTAAGGTCAAAGACGGAGCCAAAATCGATTACGACAAACTCATCGACCGTTTCGGTTGCCAGAGACTCGACGATGCCCTCCTTAACCGCCTCCACCGAATCACTTCTCGCCCCCCTCATGCCTTCCTACGACGCGGCGTTTTCTTCGCTCACCGGTTTGTCTCTCCCCCTTTCTGCACTGTCGTTTCACTTCAACGGCGATTTGACCATGTCGTTTTTATGTCGCAGTGATTTCGGGGAGCTTCTGGACGCGTACGAGAAGGGCGATAAGTTTTACTTGTATACTGGACGTGGTCCTTCCTCTGAATCCTTGCATTTGGGCCATTTGATTCCCTTCATGTTCACCAAGTTAGTTTGCGTTTTCGTAAAACAAATTGATGACAATTTGTAAATCTATTAATAATGTTATTTTTCCAATTATTATGAGTTTAGGAGTGCGTTTTGATTAATTTTAAAGAGGGGATTCACAATTTGGCCCGTGAAAGATGTTATGTGTGTTGCTTTTGTCTCCAGGAATTACTGTTTGTTCAAATTGGTTTACTCTGTTGACTTGTTTCTAAGACCGATTTGTATGCGTTTGTTTGGTTTCATCTTATTTTAAAGAAATAATAGATTTTTCTGGAAATAAGGGATTCCTAAAATGCACTGTATAAGTATTCCATTGCATTTTTTTAAATTTTAATTTGATGGAAGTTTGTATGTTATTTAATGAATTTCGAGTTTTTTATAATAGAATGTCAATTCTTATGTCATGAGGCATTCTGAACAATAGAAATCACCATTCAGTCTGTATTGCCTCAACTTAACTATGTGGGCAAGAGCTGATGTGGTATGCATTGAATAGTACTAAGATTGATCTCTTGCTCCAGAAGTGCACAGATTATAATTTTTGTTGTTATAGTTAGCTCTTTTTAATGATGTAGAAATTTTCATAAATGATATGCTTAAGAGAGTTTTACAGTGAGAGCGGATCAAATTAGATACTTGAATTTAGGGAAAGCTTGAAAATGAAGCTGAGTTTGTGATTGTTGGGGATTCTTGTTGACATAGTGGAGAATGGCTTGTAGGTATTTGCAAGACACATTTAAAGTTCCTCTGGTAATACAGCTCACTGATGATGAGAAGTTCTTCTGGAAAAATCTTACTATAGAGGACTGCCGGAGACTTGCAAGAGAGAATGCAAAGGACATCATTGCTTGTGGTTTTGACATTTCAAAGACATTCATCTTTGCTGATTTCAATTATGTTGGTGGGTGAGTGAATTATAAATGCAGATTTGCCCAGATAATGTATATTTCAAGTATGCTTTCCTATTATATCTGGAGATTTGTAAAATATTAGATTTGGTTAAAGTTTCAGGAAATTATAAGAATGTGTAATTATACATTAGTAGTAATTTTATTTCCGTAAGGAATTGAATTTTACTAGAAACTTACAATAATGTAATGAAATTCTACATTATTGAAGCACCTTAAATATAGGTATGGTGAATGAAAATGGTTTTGTGCTTTCTATCTGATTGATATTTCACATTAACATTTTCCCCTTGGTTGACTACAAAAGCAAAAAAGATAATTATGAACCCTATGCATGGTTTGCATTTTGCAAAAATTGCCGTTGTTAAGTACAGAAACTCAGACAGTAGTCTTTATTGTAATACATCCATTTATTTTACAAAATTAATGGAGTCTCGGTTACAGGGATTTTTTTTTTTCAATCAGAAAAGAGTGTTCAAATCATCCTGAATGTCTTACAGAATTTGTTTACTAGATGATATTCTTTCCCTTAAAATATCAAATCCAACAACCTTAAATGCACGTGCTTTTAAATTTTTTCAGGTCCCATATTTAAAAGTCATGGGTGACTGTAAATTATTCTGGGGATTATATTACCCACAGCGTAGTTAGGAAAAATATTGAGTGAAATTTTTTTGTTTAATTGTCTCTTCTGAAATAAAATGTCTGAGAAATTTCCCAATTTCATATATTGTTTATTCTGAACTCTTTATTTAAAATAAAATAGCAAATCTGCTGTCCTTTTGAGAAAAATTTTCCTTTTCAGTTCTTTCTACACAAACATGATAGAAGTTGCAAAGCGTGTGACTTATAACCAGGCTGTTGGCATTTTTGGTTTCACTGGGGAAGATCATATTGGAAAAGTTAGTTTTCCACCTGTGCAGGTATGGTCCATTTCTTCCCTACATAGAATGTGCCCTTCATTTTTGGTGGTTTATATGCTTGGGCTATTAATTTTTTGCTTCTGAAGTCACTGTCTCTTGTTTGCTAATGCATAATGCATAATTATGAACTTATGATACATATTTTGAAGTTGTTACTTGAAAATGATTGCATGACTGCATGTGCTTCATTTGTTTACACAGGCAGTTCCATCATTTCCTACTTCATTTCCTCACCTATTTGCTGGAAAAAAGAATCTCCGTTGTTTAATTCCTTGTGCAATTGACCAGGTATGTTGGTCTTTGATTCTTTTATATGCAAGCTGATTTCATTCTTGCTTTGCTGTTCAAGATCTTTTTTGTTGTTCACTTTGCTGTTCAAGCTCAGTTTAGCATTTTTTGTTTAATATAACAGCCATGCTATAGTGTTTTTCACTTTTACACTATTACTTGGAATGATGATTATGTAATTTAGAGAATGTCTTGAGCATTTATATTAAACTTCTGTGTTCATAACATATTATATATATGCATATAAATTTTTAAATAACGGTCATCCTGCTATACGCCATAGCGTTTTGAGGGCCAGCCGTTATTTGCCACTATCCGAAATTAACAACTATGATTGGCATTTCTTGAATGCATTTGAACATCATGTTCTATTATCTTCTATGTGTAGTTTGCATTCGGATTCTTGATATTATGTGTGGTCTATGATGCATGTGCATTTTAAAAATTCACCCATTCTTCAGTAATAGTTTTTCTTTATGATATGTTCAGGATCCTTACTTTAGAATGACAAGAGATGTTGCTCCTCGATTAGGGTACCACAAGCCAGCCTTGATTGAATCATTATTCTTCCCTGCATTACAGGTATTCTCATGTTGCAACTTGCAAAACAATGATACTTTACATAATTGATTAAAAGCAACTAATATATTTCATGTTGATGTATGTCTTGGCCATTTTGTTTGCTTGCTTATATGCTTATCCTGGCTACGTGCATGTGAGTAATGTCTGCTAGAATTATATTTAGTTAGTTGCTGCTGATCTAATAAATTATTGAGTCAAATTTATTTATTTTTATATCACAAAAAGCTAAGCTATTAGGTGAAGCAAAAGCAAGCCCATATATATTATATTTCTGGCTTACACCCTCACGCTAGACAGCTAGAGCCCTTTGGGGATTGGGCTTGAAATGTGCATGGTGCACTCTATACCTCATGATCATAAAGGCTCTGTTGTCATTATATAAATCAACATTGTGTGAGAAAGTCAGAAAAAATGTTAGAAAGTATTCAGAGAACTTAAGAGAATTCTATTGGAGTATTCAGTAATAGTGGATTGTGGAAAATCGTGGAAAGCCAAAATCTGCAATGTCATGTAGCAGATAGTGTCGTGGGTAAATAGCAGAAGTCCCATAGTGGTTGAAATATATAAGTTACATATATAAAAAGTTAAGCAGTATATGGAAGATTGCTATTGCATTCAGTAAAAGGGAAACAAAGAAATCATAGCAGAAAAACCCATACATACAGGGCTCATGTTTTCTAGTCAACAGATTTTCATGAATCTCATTTTGGATACAGATGTAGGCTTTGAAATTTTCTCTCTGAAAAAGATCTCTTCCTGTGAAGATGTATTTTTTGCTTGTTTGCTCAGCTTCTTTAGAATGTAAATGCTTGCAGGGGGAAGCAGGAAAAATGTCAGCCAGTGACCCCAATTCTGCAATATATGTGACTGATTCTGCTAAAGATATAAAGAACAAGGTTTGTTACTGAAATTACTCTCTTTAAAGCTTTTATGTGTTATTCTGCTGCTTACATTTAAGTCTTGTGGATCTATTTTATTCATTGTGACAAAAATTTGCTGTAGAACCTTCTTTTTTTAATTGTTATGTTGAGGAATCTTGGTGACATCCTAAATCTACTAATTTACAGTAATGTCTGTGTAATGTGTATATGCAAGGTATAAAAAGGTTTGCTTTCATATTTGCATGGAAGTTTAATACCAAACTTGATCTATGAGTAAATCTTGCTCTACATTACTGGATGATCAGAGAAGCCCTTTTTGATTTGAGAATAATGTTGTTTTGTTTTCATTTTGTGCTCTTACAAATAATTACAAAATAGTTTCCTTATTTTCACTATGTTTCTTACTTTCAAATATTTGCACAGGAAATAGTGAAAATGAGATTTTTGTTGTTTTTATTGTTTCATGTACAAATCTTTTAAAAACAGGAAACAAAATAAAAAACAATGAGACATTTTTGTTATTATTTGTAACAATAAGAAATAAAAACAAAATGTTTTCTAAAACCAAGTTGGGCCTAGTATTTTTCACTCTTCTGTGTTTCTATCTGTTACTCTGAGCTACTGATGTCTCTTGTATCCCTTAGGCCTCCCGTAATGTTTGTTGACTGTATGTTTGGCTTTCTGCAGGTGAACAAGTATGCATTTTCTGGTGGCCAAGATTCTATAGAGAAACATAGGGAATTAGGGGCAAATCTTGAGGTAATGAAATTCTTGCTGCTTGTTATGATTAATAATTTGCAGTTTGCATGTAACAAAATGTGAGCTACAATATTCATTTATTATTTTCCTCCCTCCCCTAAATCCTTTCGCTTACTTCAGTTCTCTTTAGTCTGCCTCTTTTTATAGCTTGATCTTGTTATTTTTTAACAATATTCAGGTAGATATACCAATCAAATACCTTTCTTTTTTCCTAGAAGATGATGATGAACTTGAACACATCAAGAAGGTCTGATTTTCTATCTTTTTTCTTACTTTTTAAAAATTAGCATAAAAAAGACTTGTTTGACTTCTCTAACTTCTATAATTTTCTCGTAGGAGTATGGGGCTGGACGCATGCTAACTGGTGAGGTGAAGAAGCGCCTAAGTGAAGTTTTGACTGAAATTGTGGAGAGACATCAAAGGGCTCGAGCTGCTGTGACTGACGAGGTATGCATCCTACAGATCCAACACTAATAAATGTTTTTGCATAGTTAGCTATGCTGCAATTGTGGAATAATAATAATGGGCTACTGAATTGATATCCCAATTGTTAATTACATTATTTAAGTATTACTGAAAGCAAAGATTACCCCAGGTGCTAGGACAATTTCTAGAGTGGTATTAGGGAAAATACATGTTGAATGCCGAGGACAATCTCTGGAGGGTGGAGATTGAAAACTAATTCTACATACTACCTTTTTTTTTGTAAGTAGGAATCCATTTTGATTTTCTGAATTTACAAAGACCTAAGTCTGTTTGGCTCTTTTATAATGGAAAATGAAAAAAAAGAAAAACAAGTTCTCTGCATTTAGGTTTGTTGAATTTGGGCTTTAAGCCTAACTCAACCCTAAAAGCTAGATTGTAAGGTGGGGATTGCCTTAACCTTTTATAAGCTCTTATTTAGCGATATCTACAGTCAATATGGGACTTCAACAAAGTTTAATAAGCAGATTGTGATTATAAATTATGCCTGAAGTATTTCTTTCTTGACTTCTCCAATTTGTCCACCTAGCTGGAATATTGTGTGAATGTGACAATACCATAAATATACACCTACCTCCATGATTAGAAACCCTAATCACCATGTCATAAGGTAGCAACCTTACCATTGTCCCAAAACTGTCACCCTCCTAATAAGAACAAACAATGTCAAGGTAAAAAAAAAAAGTATCCCTCAGTTGACACTTTTCACAAATTTTTGGGGTTCATTGTTTGCTTCTATTAACAAATTTTGGTCTCTTAATGAAATCATAGCAAAAGCTGAGTATGTGCTTGGTTATTCTTTTTTCTACTTCATCTCCATAAGATTGGCAGGTTATAAGTCTGTATTCATTTATATGGTGCTAAACATATTCTCATTTTTTTCATAATTCTTTCAGATGGTGGATGCATTTATGGCCGTCAGACCACTTCCGCACATGTTTGACTGAAGTTATCGTATAAGCTTTTTGCCTGCGCAAATATTGCGTGGAGATCACTGGATAGCTGGATTTATTTTATTTATCAACTTGAAAATTGGGTTTGCTGTCAATTTTCTGCACTTCAATTGTTATATGGTCATGCTATCACCAAAATTTGTACCTTTGTTTACCACCAATCAGGTGGCAAGGAACTGAGTTCTTGTGATTCGTCTTGATTGGGTCCATGAAGTTGATTTGGATTAGTCAAGCTCGAAGGTGGCTTTGTATGTTGACTGGAGGATGAATGGATTATGTAATTTAACATGTCCTTGTCAATTAGATTGCAGCTAACAGTAGTGAAGGTGCCACTGAATAATTGAAATTTTGATGGATGGCATTGCAATTTTCGTGAGAAATATCTATATGCCAATTAAGTGGGAATGTACACTAGTAACCCAATAAATTGATTAACCTCTTGGCTTCCCCTGGCCCTTTTTTACGTACCAGGTGTTGGACTAATTTATAATTCAACATGTACAATTTACACAACATTGCGGTATAATTGTTTGAATGCTTGCAATTGCGGTTAATTTTCTTGCGATTGAAAAATAGTAAAGGTCGGTTATGATAGTATTAGTAACTAAGGTTGAAGGATTAATGAAGGTTCGCTGACAAGATGCCTCTTGAACAATCACTTGTTTTCCAAAATAATGCAAACTTGTAGCCCATGTTACAAGATCTTTTGGGGGAGGAATGATTAGTGAATTATAGGATATGGGAACTCAAATCCGTGCAATTGATGAATGTAGGATTTATTTATTATGTTCAGTGAACTGAGCTAAGCATTGTTTAACATGATAAAGATTTGGGCTTGACTTGTGTACGAGTTTGGTTCGTCTAGTATTGATTTTATATTTTATGCTTGATGCTCAAATTTGTAATTTAACAAAATTTATACTTTTTCTATCATAATTTACGAGTCAATTTAAAAAGAGTATCAAGTGTCAATATATATTAAAAAATATCTATTTATATGCAAGCTAACTTAAGAGTTAGGTCAATCATGTAGAAGCTTAAAACCTCCGTAGTTGATAATAAACCAGGTTACATAGGCATCAACTAAATGTTTGTGTCTTCATTTTAAGTTAACCGAAAAAAGGTGTCCATTCTAGACCTTCGTTTACGAAAAATAAAATTTTTGGCTTTGTGAAAACTCCATTGCAGTGTTTTGAAAAGATAGTAAACTCAATTTTAATTTGTACACAAACAGACTAATGAATGTTTATTATAAAAGATCATACCGAGCACAATAGATATCACTATATCATAATTAGACCGAAATCATATAAACAAGGGCATGTACAAAATTAAGGTTTAAGATTTAGGACATAATAGGTACCACCAGATCAAACCAGAATCATATTAACGGGCATGTACAAAATTAGAACCAGAAGTCATTGATCATCGTGTGTAGGAAATTGCTCAAATTGTACAGGTGAGAAGTGTGTTTTTCTGATATAGTTCAAGATATGTACGTGCAGAGGAACCAATGGTGAAAATAGTTGATTATCAAAGATCCTGAGTAAAAATAAAAGACCACATCATGCGTTGAGAAAAAACATTGAGCCTGAGTCACTATTGCTAGCGTATTTTTGGTGATACAAATCTTCTGCTATAAATAAGGTATAATCTAAAAATCAAGTGGCCCGGCTTTACTTGACCCAGAACAACCACCAGATGTACCATATGAACTCCCACTTGAACCGTCAATTGGCGCTTGATTTAGACATTCTAAAACCAAAAACCTCCGTTTTTGCAATTTTATTGAGAATGTTGTGGCGTCCAGAATCACAGGAACCTGCAAGTTGAAAATCAGACAGTGGACATAAGCTAGATCAGATACGTCAAAATTAGTTAACAAACAAATTAATATAAAAAGGGGCAACAATGCATGTAATACTAAAAGCTGTTGTTTAAGCATGCTGTGTATGTGCAAGCAAGCACCATAAATTCAGGAATTAGGAATACATTAGAGACAGAAAAAGGAGGACAGGTAGAGTTTACTAGCATACCAAAAAGGTTATGTAATGGGGTAAATGGATGCAAATAGTTGTATGCATGTCACATTGTGAACTACAAGTGCAAAACAGAAGTAAACAAAAAATATAATAAAGTCAATAGATAAATCAAAAATTCAAAACGAAGTATGAATATAACCTGTGTATTTAACCGTGCAATTTTTTGTACATTTAAAAGTCCAATCATGTCCTGGTAACCAGTGAGGAGTTTTGCGAGTTCCTTGTCCTCGTCTGAAACAAATTTAGTCTATTAGTGAAATTTGATGTAATTCATAAATAAGAATGTGAAATTTAAGATCTGAGTTGACTATAAACCTGGAATGGCTCTGACTGAAAGCAAGGTGTCTGCCATATGTTGCAATCTTTTTGAACAAGATGGAGAAAGAAGAGAAGGTGGAAAGGTAACAACAACAACAGCATTTGAAGACCTTGCCATACCTTTTAAGGACTTAATAAAGGAAAGCATATGCCACTCCTACAATAAAGATGTGAAAAGTTAACATATTTCAAATTATAAAAATATTAAATATTGGCTTAATTATATTTTTTGTCCTTATAAAAGTAGCACCATTTGTGATAAGTCCTTTGAAAGTTTTTTGTTAAAATTCAGTTCTTGATCTTTTTAAAATGTTAGGATTTAATTACTGCCATCAATTCTCTTCTGATAAGTGATGAGTTGGCTGACAGAGAATTAGTTCATCATGTTACTTCACTGTTATGTTATTTAAATTTTTTTAATATTATATTATTTAAAATTAATATTTGCAAACAAATCTTTGAACACATTTTAAATATTTACAAAAAATTCTCCTAGAACCCTAATCCCCATTCCCTTCTTACGCGCCTTCTTCTCCTTCTCTGTCTCCTTCTCCCTCTATTACTTCTTCATAGCAATGCCTCTCAGTTCCCACGTAAACACATTTTAGTTGCTCCTTAGCCCTATAGCTGAGTTTTGCATACACAAAATATCCCAAGTACAGAATCTCATGGAAAACATGCTCAAAACTCCTCCAAAAGTACCAATTCAAGCACAAGCATCAGAGTCAAAATGCAAAACACCAACTCCAGTTCTACATTTTACTTGAAATAATTTTCTGTCTCTTACTGGCTATATATATATATATATACTTAAAAGTATATATAGCCAGTAAAAAATTGATGCAAAACCGAATTAACAATCCTAATAATTCAATAATGGTGGAAAAGGTAACTTTCCCAACAAAAGGTAGGCATCCAAATAGTTTAATAATTGCAGAAAGTAAAAAATATCTGATGGATCATGGACTTCAACTAGTGCTAATAAATTTGTTAATTAATGTTATTCTGTTCTTCTTTTTTTGGGGTCAAGAGACTAATGTTATTCTTGACTTTGTATTTGCAGTGAGCATTGTTGCTCTCGGTATTGCAAATCTGATTGGTGGATGTTCCGTCTTGGGCCGTAATGTGAGTTTGGTTCAAAATATTTATTTTGGGGCTGCAAATGATTGATTTATTTCACTTGCTGTTTCTTTCCTTGCCCCCTTATATGTTTTTCTTATGTTGTGGGTGTTACAATAATGGTTCAGGTATACTTGTGTTCAACTTTAAAGCACACCATTGAGGTTGAAATTCACCACAGACCATACAACATGATTAAGAACTGGAACTACACCGGGTTGGTTGATGCAATCCAAAATGGTTGAGTGAGGGAGTGACGTTGAGAAGGAACAGAGGGAGAAAGAGAAGAAGGCCAGGAAGGGAATTGGGATTAATGTTCTAGGGACTTAGTTGCAAATATTTAAGATGTCTTCAGAGATTCATTTGCAAGTCTTAATTTTAAATAATAAAATATTAAAACATTTAAATGACATGGCAGTGACGTAACATAATAAACTGGTTCTCTGTCAGCCAATTTATCATTTAATAGAAGGGGATTGACTGTAGGGACTAAATTCTAACATTTTAAAAAAAGCATAGGCTAAATCCTAACAAAAAACTTTCTATGGACTTATCACAGAGGGTGTTACTTTTATAGGAACCAAAAACATAATTAAACCTTAAATATTTATAGAATGAATAATTGTGATCCAACCCAGGATTACAAAAAAGGATTAACAATAAGATAATCCTAAAGATTATATGAAATCATAATATATATATATATATATATATATAGAGAGAGAGAGAGAGAGAGTCATGATTCATTGACATAGGTGTCAAACTTGAACACTTCCACCACTTAATAACTTTTCATAGAACGCAAGAATACCCAATCTAACCATTGAATGTTTTTATATTATCTTCATGATCATTAAAAAAAAAAAAAAACACAAGGAAGATATATTAACTCACCATATCTGAATACTTGCATTGTGGAGAACAGAATGATTGAATCGCAATACGACCAGCAGAGGGTAGGCTGCCTTCATTTCTGTTGATGTCATCCATAATGTTAGCAAATAGAAAACTAAGTAGAATGAAAGCTGTTTTTCAGAAAAAATCACCAAAACAATCTGTATCCCAACCTAATTGATGCAAAACAAGAAATTCAGAGGGAATCAGGAAAGGCTTTGCAGAAAATCTCCATCTCTAATTACTTAATATCTTGATCATGTGTCCATGTATCTAATGCAAGAGAAGGGCGCAGAATCAGCAAAAAAATGAGGTTCAAAATTTCCAATAATGCAATGTTAACTATCCTTTCCGCTTGAGCATTCAAAAGAATGACATTGGAGGAGTTTCTGGTATAGCGATAAAAAGTTTCTTGAAAATCATTTGTGACAGTTGCATGCATTTGCAATGCTTGCAAATAGGGATTGCTATCCTGATGCATAAACACTATATTGTGAAAATCATTTGTGACAATTGCATGCATTTGCAATGCTTGCAAATAGGGATTGCTATCCTGATGCATAAAAACTATATTGTGTTTGTGCTCACCAGGTGCCCATCAAAATAACAAATACTACCAGACAGCTAGCTGTGTAAGGCCATCAAACATAACAATGAAGTGCCAACCAGAGGCAAAACAAAAGTACTAAAAATAGAGCTCAATGATCTAAATCCTAAATTGCACACAACAACAACAATCAAAGGCATTTCCCAATAGGTGGAGATGGCTACATGGGTCAAATGAAGCCTTCTTCAAAAATAAAATCTTAAATTGCATGTGCCAAAAGAAAGATCTATCAAACATATGGTTGAACTTTGTTTAGAAAAAGCAATTATACACATATGGTCCAAATCCAAACAGCAAACTTCATTCTATTAAATCTTATTTTACTTTATTCTATCCAGAAAAACTTGACTCAACCAAGTATGACAAAATGAATAAACAGTTGAATACTGTCTAGAACCTGTTCTCCTAAATCTTTAGCGATTAGGTGAAGGCCTAGGAATCATCTCAATGATCTCATATATCCAAAAAAGAATACATTTATAAAATAGTCTATAGACCATTGCACCTTGAAAATTGAGCTAGAAATCCAGCACAATGATCTTGAAGAGCAGTAAGGTTTGGAGAATCTTGGATGCTAACACAGTCTACATTATTGCCACTAAAAAAATGTCGGTCCAGGGGCTTCCGCAAGTCAAAATCATTGCAGTAATCATGCTGACCACCTGCAATGTAAGTATGATTCAACTATACAATTTACACAACATGATTTGGTATGAAGCTCCCTACATTTAAAATCACATATTACAGTGCTATGCCTACAAAACCTAAGTGCTATTCATAAAAGCATTTCAATTTAGTCCATAAAGCATTCAAATCACACATTTACCTTGTGATTTTACACTATTACTTCTGCATCTGAAATTTGAATGACTTGTTTTTGTTGCTTTTGGCTTATTATCATAGTAGATATAAAACCATTCATGGGCTTTCACCTGATAACTTAAGCTCTTAGGAGTATTGGGTAATTAACAAGGTAATAGAGCCTCATGACCACAAGGTTAGGAACTCAATCCCTGCATCCCTATGAACTTGCCACCCTTTAAACCCAAATGGCTCTAGCATGGAGGGGTGTTTAAGATATAAATGATGGACTTCTGATTGAGTTTATACAAAGACCAATCAATAATCAGTCCTACTGCTCAAACAATAATTTTAAAACAAAGAAAAGGGCAGTATTACTTTTCTAAATTAAAATTAAGAGTGCTTGAGGATGGCAAGTCTGCAATGACTGCAAACTGAGAGGACACTGACAAAGGAGGAAACTAATTGTTACTGTTAGTATTGTAAGCTGTAGCTATTGTTTATCCTTTTGCTTTTGTAAACTTTATGGAATGTGATATGTACAAATAATTTGCAACATATTGTTACAAAATTTGCAATTTCAGCACCTATATTTTAGTTGATACTAACAAGATTTACATATTAATACTTCTATTCTATGAATCTACTATCTTTAAATGGTATCCTATATATCATAAAATTATAACATCTCACTTTTACTTAAACCCCTGAGAACTTTTGAGTGAAAACTCATTTTTCATGACGGTTAAAATAAATACAATGCAAATACTAGTAAACTTAATGGTCCATAGTGATATAAGATAGGCATGTATTGGTCACTTGTCATAAGAAAAAAAATTAACACTAGAAATGAAGTAACAACAACACAATGATAGTTGAACAAACAGTGGAGAGAAGTACAAAGACAAACTTACCATTATTAGTGTTGAGATTTGGCTGAGACTCACCAAAATACTTCTTGTACTGCCAAGCAATTCTAAGATCCTTTTCCTGTAGTTATAAGCATAATCAACAATCATATTACCATTAGAAAAATTTAATGCATATCACAGGTGCAAAGGATGAACAAAAGTACATGGCTAAGCTCTCGAGATTTATCCTCTTTGGATGACATTGGACTAGGTAAAGTACCAAGAAATCCTTTAGGGTCTCTAGACGCACTAGCATACAAGAGTGGTTGTTTGTGCACTAGTCCTTGAGACATAAAATTTCTCAATAGAAGCATATGATGAGGTGCTTCAGCATCTTCCATAACCATGACAAGGCTACCCAGAGAAAAACCACCACCCAAAATCTCTATTCAGAAGGAAAAAAGAAGCAAGCATAAGAATCTTTAATGAAAAAACAATACAGACAAAACAAATAAAACTAGTAAACTCATTCATTTACTACATTGCCTATTTAAAGGAAGTCAAAGAGATAATTACTGTCCAGATCGGGAATCCCAGACGAGATGAACATTGTCCCATTAGGGCCATGCTTAAGCCCAGGATTCTGAGATGTCACACTTGACAGATTGCGAGAGAAGCTACTAACTCGAGTCCTGGTTGCAGCCATTCTACATCAACACTTTATGATAAACCACCCTGACACCTAAGGAAGCAAAGAGTACATGTTTATGGGGGCTGCAACTTGTGTCAAGATTCAAGAAAACATTTTCAATCACAAGATCAGCAAACATCATAAAAATGGTGATGTGTAAAATGCAACAAAGGAAACCAAACCAATCATTAACCAGAAACAAGCAGAATTAATGTGTTTCTATGACGATTTTTATTAGATTTCTTGAAATCACATTTTTAAACCCTAGATATTATCACAAGGATTTTCTCCTTTTTTTGTGTTTAAAAACCTTTTTTTATTAGAATTATTTTTTAATAAAGAATTTGTACGAAAAATATTAAAATAGCTTAAAATCCTATTTACTCATAATGCATATTTAACAGAATGTAATCATAGCTTTCAAAAAACACTGACTGGATAAAAGGTTTTGTTAAAATGTGTCATAAGGGATGATGTTATGGAGCATTAAACACACCTTATTAATTTTTTAAATTGCTTAAAAAAGAAAGTGTAAAGGACTTTTGCATTTTTTATGCAATAAATTATTTCCTTCATGTAAATAATAAAAATAAAGAATTATTATACATATAGTATAAATAGTTATGTATTTTATAGTATTTCAACATGTACATAATAAAATAAAATGCTAAATAATATCATTTACAGTAACATGTAATTTAATCCATAAAATAATACAATTGACAAAAAAACACAACTAATATTCATATCACAATAATAACATTAGATCAAGTTACAAATTAAAGATGCACTGACTGAATCAAATAGCAAGACTAAACGCCCTCTTAAACTAATAACAAACAGCTTAAAGGCTCACTATTCAGAAGCAATACCAGTATCCAATATTTTTATCACGGGACAGGAATGTGAGAAAACAACTACATATCAGTTAAAATCCAACGATGTCCAAGCTAAACAATACTAAGAGAAAAGAAAACAGTAATTGAAGAAATAATGTGACGAATAAAAGAAGTGGTATAAAAAGGAGGAAACTGTGAATAAAACTCAAAAAACATGTATAGGCTTGTCCAGACATGTTATCAAACATATGGGCTACGAGCAAAAGAAATTTTGATTTTTCCAACATTAGACAATCTAAACTTCTCAATTCAGAAACATACATATGTGTGTACGCATGCATATGTATTTGCATTCACACACACACACACATATATTAAACACTTTTAAGAATCACAAACAGCAACCAAACACGAGAAATAGGAAAGAACGAAACAAAAATTTAAAGAGAACAAAGAGAGAGAAAACCTGAAAGAAGGAGACAGAGTTCGAAGCAGTGAGAGTGTGAGAGTTTGGGGTTTTCTTCAAAGCGAGGGAGTTTCTGTTTTGTTGGTTTCGCACAATTGTTTGTGTTTCTTGTTCCATTTTAATTTTTTTAATTATAGTTATATATTTATTTTTTCTTAATCAAAAGATTAAAAACAAAATCATTTTAATTCACTGATTTTTTTTTACATTTTTTGTCATACAAGGATTCCTTATTTTATTTGTTATACATTTTTGTTAATTTAGTATTATTAGGGTTTAAAAGTATATTTAATTCACCTTATTTGGAGAAATTAATGATTAGTTTTAATGGTTTCTTGAGAAATAATTTTCAAAAACAAGTAACTATTAAAAAGAAAACTTTCTGAAAACATTTGTTAAGATGGGAAACTAAATAAGAAGCGAACTAATTAATTTAGTCAATTGAACTAGATCAATTAAAAAATATTTTATTGTTTTGAACTCACTAAATTAACTTGAAAATTTACTAAAGTTAAATAAAATTATTAAAAAATCATGTATGTATGGGATAGGATCAAATGATACCAAATATTAAACATAATGAAATAATATATTTAATATTTTTTATTGTAAAATTTTTTTATCAATGTAATTGTTAAATTTAAAGAGAAAAGAAGATAAAAATATGTTTTTTTTTGTTATTAAAATAATATTTATTACTTAAAAACAAGTTTTTCATCTCTAATTACATTTGAATATTTAAACTCAGTAACTCAGTTGATTGATTGATATGGAAGTAAAGATTGACTGCAATTGCATTTTTAAAATTTTTTTTTTAACTTTTATAATATTGAATTGATTAATGGAGACAAATTTGGTCATAAAATGGTATTTTCATGGCTGAAGTCCATACCTAATGTATGAAATGAACATTTCATTTTTAAATAATACAACTATTTATTATTTGTTTCTAATAGATATAGGAATAGTTTTGTCCCTAAATTTTTTTTCGAAAATCAAGTACTTTCTAGTAGTGTTTCATTGACTATAAGTGACTATATATCCACGGAGCAAATTTTTTTATACACTTATAATACTAATGCTTTGATAGTTGTCACTTTTAATTTAACAGTCTACTCTTATTTTTTACTTGAAAAGAATAAAAATAAAAAAAACCATACATGCTAAGTTTCATAATTTTGTGGAAAGATTACATAGACTGAAATAATTCTATAGCCGTAGCCCCCTCTAAAACTTGAAGAATCTAGACCAGCAATTACAATAATCACTATCTAAATTCTTTATTCTAGCAACGTTTTATTGAAATCATTGCACTCATCTAAATTTTTTCCTTCTTTGAATTGATATTTATATTGGAATGTGGCATGATCATGAGTGAGAAAAGCGTACTGTTATTACACAAATATTGGCTATTGTAAGTTGCAAGCGAAATCATTCAGTTGCCACTTTGTCAATTTCTACCAAATTGGACACAATGCTAATTGGGAATAAAGTGCACATTCTACCAAAAACACTATGAAAATATTAAACAAAGTAGATATTTTACTATAAGGTTATGTTACATTGACAATTTTGTTTTAGTCAAGAACAACAATGAGGGTGCTTGGAATGCTTTAATTGCATTATTTGTGATGTTTGATCAATTTTATGCTGCCTATTATATATGAAAACTTTAAAGTGTACACCCTTATGTTTGTACAGTTTTTGTTACCAATAATCATAACAAGAACATGATCCTTCTTTGAAGTGATGAAAACGATTGCGGTCCCTCACTATGATCTCCCTCCCATAAATCTTGGACAGTAACTTGGTAGCATTATGACAATCATCACAAATTCTAAGATTCTTCACAATTCTAATTGGAACACCAGGAGCTGTGCTAATTAGACCATATGCCATTGCCAGTTTCTCACTGTGATAGTTGAGTGTAGTTTCTTTCTCCTCATTGTCTATGTTCAACAAAACAGAAGATATATCTGGGGTGTATCCAGCATCTTCAAGTTTTTCTCTCATCTCATCAATCATTTCATAGATTTTTTTAGTATCTGAGTGTTCCCTGCCTCCCGTTATGAATTCGTGAACTATTCCATTCACTTGAATGGAGCTAACACCTGGTTCTTTACTAATTCCTACATCCTTCATAGCTCTCCTTATGTAAGCAACATCACCCCATCTATTTGCTGATGCATATATGTTTGACATTAGAACATTATATCCACATTTGTGGGGTTCCAATGAGAGAAACTGTTTTGCTACCCATTCTCCAAGTTTGATATTTTTGTGAAGTTTGCATGCAGCGAGGAGAGATCCCAATACAGCAATGTTTGGCCTCATTGGCATGTTCTCAATTAGTTCCTTTGCTTCATTAAGCAAACCAGCTCTACCAAGGAGATCCACCATACAACCATAGTGCTCAATTTTTGGTACCAAACCAAAATCATTAACCATTTTTTGAAACAGACTCTTCCCTTCTTGCAACAATCCAGAATGACTACAAGCATGAAGAGCTCCAATAAATGTGATGTCATTAGGGATAAACCCTAGTGCTTCCATTTCTTCAAGAAGTTCCAATGCTGCCTCCCCATGACCATGCATTGCAAAACCTGATATCATGGCATTCCACATTGAAACGTCTCGGTTGGTTGCGGCAGCAAATAGGCTATGAGCTGTATCTATGTCTCCACACTTGGCATACATGTCAACCAAAGATGTTTCAAGAATCATGTCTCCTTTAATTCCTTGCTTGTCTATGTAAGAATGGATCCACTTACCCATTTCAAGGGATCCAGCTTTTGCACATAACACAAGGAGGGTAACCATGGTTATCTCATTTGGCCTAATTCCACAACCAGTCATGTGAACAAAGATACCAAATGCCTCATCTATACAATTGTTTTGAGCATAAGCTGAAATCATGGCACTCCACATCATTAAATCTATGTTCTTGATGCTATCAAAAACATGTCTCGCACTTGTTACATCGCCACATTTGCCATACATATCAACAAAAGCAGTGGCCAGAACCAAAGAAATGGTAAACCCATTTCTTAAAGTGAAAGCATGTAACCACTTCCCTAGTCCTAGAGATCCTGCGGTGCCGCATTCTTTGACCAAACTAAGGATTGTAATCTCATTTGGAAACACACCCTCCCCTAGCATTTTGACAAACAATTTTTGCCCTTCATTCAAATTATTGCAATGAATGTAGGCTGCAATCATAGTAGTCCATGAAATGATACTAGCCCCAGATACACCATCAAAAACCCTTCTTGCATATGCTAAATTTGTACACTTAGCATACATATCTATTAAAGCAGTACTTAAAGGAACTCCTGATTTCCCACAATTACCATTCCTAATCACATATCCATGCAAGGCTTTCCCCAATTTCGAATCAGCAAGTTCTGCAAAAACATGAATCATGCTTATCAGTGCAATTTTACTAGGCTTTACTCCCTTAACATGCATAACTCTCATAAGGTCCAATGCTTCATCAAGAAACCCACTCTTATCGTAGTTCCTAATCATAGTACTCCAAGAAACAACATCTTTATTCTCGATCTTATCAAATAATAGGCGTGCAGATGCCAAGCTTCCAACCTCACTATACATCATGACCAAAGCGTTACACACAAAAACATCTCCATGAAATCCTTTTTTCACCAAAAAACCATGCACCTCTTTTCCTAACAAGGTTGAAGGGATAAGACAACATGCTTTGAGAACTGATGGTATGATAAAATTGTCCACTTCAGTGTCTGTTCCACGCATATAGGAATAGATTTTCACTGCATCTTTGGGGCAGTTGTTCTTGATGTAAGAAGTTATTAGGAAGCTGTAAAACGCTGCATTGCTAGAATAGGATTCAAGAGAAGAAAAAGGGACTTTGTAACTGCTGTTAAAACATGTTTTGATGAAGTGACCATGAAGTTGTTGTGTTTCATGAAGGTTTATGTTAAGCTCATGTTGGATGAGAGGCACATTTCGTTTTGGTTGGAGTTGGGTGATTTTCAATGTGGAGGATTGATAATGATTAGAGTTTTGGAACTTTTGAATTGAGATTGGAAAGAGTGAAGGAGGAGCTCTAGAGAGGTGGGAATCGCTTGTAACCATCTTAGTTTAATCCTTCAGTTTTTGCAAAATTCATCATCATTTCTTTCACTGAATACTCAAGCATAGGCTTCAAATAGATGGTCTCATTTCACACCAATCTCAAGCAAGTGCCTAAACTTCAATTGCAGCTTCTTTACCCAATTGTGCATAAGATGAGTGATCAAGTTGGTGGGTTGGTTTCAGATAGAGTGAAGCACCTGTGTTTGGTTTCAAATAGGTTCATTCATGTGGTTGTTATGTTATAGAAAACAGATAAGGAAGGAATAAGGAGAATCTTGTTTAATTGGTTTCTTGTTTAGAGCATGCCATGCTTTTGTTTTGAGGTAAATGATTTTTTTACACTCATTCATTGAATTTGAAATAGCCGCAAAGAAGAGAAAGATAGATAGTAAAAAAAAATATAACAGGAGAGAAAATAGAGTAGTAACAAATATTGTGATAAGTAAAGATGAGAAAAACAAATAATATATATGTAAATGAAATATAAGAAAAAAATAAACGTTGAAATATTATAATTTGTGTTCCAATATGAAATTCACGACTGTTTCTTGGTATTGATTTATTATTCTTACTTGCACTTCGCTTTCTTTCTCCGAGAATTTAGCTTGCTGTTTGCTACTTTTTTCTTTTTACTGGTTATTACCCAAGATGCTCCTTTGTTATTAAAAAAATTAGGTTCTTTTGGTTTCAATTTTTTTTGTTTTGTTTTTAATTATAAAAAATATTTTATTTTTTAATTTTCTGTTTTCAGATATTTATACAGGTGGTTGTAAAATTTTATTTTATTTTTTAGTTTTTTCCTTATTTACTTCTGTTAAATGGAGGTGGTGAAAACCGTAAATTAAACTCAATAAGAAAGGAGTAAATTTTGAAATTTAAAATGTTGATGATAAAATTACATATAATAATATTAAATGAAGATAAAATTGGTATTTTGTAGTATTTAAAAAAAAATTAACTTTAACTATGATAAGTGTAGTAATTTTAAATAACCACTACTACTTTTAGTGATTCATATAATTCAGTTCAAGATGCTTCGTAAGAAACAGAGAAGCTTCAACAAGCTTATCCATCACATTTTCTTGTAACTGTGGCTTTTTGAATATTAACTCACTTTATTGGTGCTGTCCCCACCATTTGGATTTATGTTTGTGGTATCAAAATTTATCTTTCCTTTGGGATCAGAAAAATTTATGTGGTTCTGAATGTGTGTTGCTATATGAAACTGCAAATTTTGTTTTTGTTTAATATGTTGATTTACCTTCATAGGCTGTGTCCTCACTATACAGTGAACCAATTATGCAGTCATTTTGAAGATTATAGAGATCTTCCATAGATCAAAAAATTGAGGAAGAATTTTAAGAACATCAAACAAATACTAACTTTCATCTTCTTCTGGTTTTGTAAATATGTGAGCACTACAATAGGAATTGGAACTCTTCCATGTTAAAAGCTCATCTTCAAGTTAGAAAATATAGGCTTTGCTTTTCATTAAAGGTTGCAAGAATGATACAGTTAAGAATTTACATTTTAAGTTCTTGTACAGTTTTTTTTTTTTCTTCCCTTCTATTATAACATTGTTAATAGTACTATGATACGAAGAACTAAAATATAATAAAACTTTCTTATAATTTTTAAAAATATATACAAATTAATTTATAATATATATATATAAAAGAAGCGATATAATTAGAGTAAAATTTACGGTTGAGAAAGTTTAGTATCTTTCTTACACATGAAATAATTTTGACCGATAATTTTATATTTTATTAGATAATGGAGGTAATAGTTTAAATGAAAAAGATGTTAATACTCTTTCTAATATTAAAAAAATTACAACTATTAATCTAAAGAGAATATAGAATATCCTTTCAAATTTATGGTATCACAATAAATACCTATAATTAAAAAAAAATTAATGCATAGAATCAAAGCTTAATTTGATACAAATTTTGTCACTCTATTATTTTAAAAAAAGAATTTAATAAAATTTTATTTAGTTTTTAAAGTGAAAAATATTTTTAATTTAAGTCTTTAAAAAATATAATTAATTGTAAACATGTAGTTTATTATTTATTTCAATTTTTGAAAGATAAAAAACTATGCAATTTAGTTTTTTTAAAAATATTTTAAAATTAATCTCTAAATGTGTGATTTATTATTTATTTCTTTATTTCTTGTTTATAATTTATTAATTAATTTTTAAAAAAAGAATGTAATATGCTAATAAAGTATTTTTTTTAAATCATATTATATTTTTGAAGTTTAAGTGTAATATATTAAAAAATTATGATTTTTAAAAATAAAAGTAAGTTGTTAAGAAATAAAAAAATAAAAAAATATTTTACTTAAATATTAATGCAATCTATATTATGATTTAGGATTTTATTAAAACAATTTATATATGTGTTTCTTATTTATCTAGACCATAGGCTTTCTCACGTAGAATTAATCTTATTTGAACACGATAAGATTATTATAAGCGATTGACAATTTATATACTTGTTACCTTAATAAAATATAAATTAACATTATCTAAATTTCATAAATCATAAACATACTAATTAACAAAAATTATCTAAGACAAAAAAAAATTATTATTCTATTTGTAATTTTAGGTTCATCATAACTTAGTATCTAAACTAGGTTAGAGATCACATTTTGCAATCTTTTAAGGAATATCTACTTGCATATTCAACATTTTCATATTTTCTCACCATAAGAAATTATATTATCTAATCATTTAAAAGGAAATATTTTTTTAAATATATTTTTAATAAAATAGTTAATGTTATTCATACAGAAATAAAAAATTATTGAAAATAAAATAGAAGAGATTTTACACAAATATGTTATATTAAAAACTATAAACAGAATAATTTATTTACTTGATTTAACAAAAAATATTATGATTATGATAAAATAATTATCTTTTGAAATAAAACTTTGATAATTAAAATTATAGAACTAACTATATTTTAATGAATTTTAGCTGAAAGATTAAAATGAATAATATATTACATATTCAAAAATTAATTTTAAGATGTTATTTTTTCAAAGACTAAAATAAATAATAGACCACGTGTTCAAAGACTAAAATTAATGCTTTTCATTTTAAATATTAAATTAATTTTTTTTATCTTTTAAATACCAAATTAGGCATTATAGAAAAATTACCAAATTAAGGTTTTATTTTTTCCAAACATGCAAATAATATACAGTTAAGAAAAAGGTTTTTCTAAAATAATAGAAAATTGTATATATAATTTTTTAATTAAAAATAATAGGATTGAATGTGTTGACTTTAGTATTAAACGTTATAATTTTATATAATTTATTAATATTTTATCATATAATATAAATTTAAAAATTATTAAAAATATAAAAAACTTTAGCCGGCTAATTAAATTAATCAACTCATTTTGACCTATTTGGACATTGAAACAAAGTAAGAGAAGAAAACATGTGAGTTCCAATTGAAGTTTAATATTAAATATATGGATTAAGACACCTTTAATTAATATAAAATATTATTGTACTTTAATTAAGAATGTTTTATTTAATCTCCTCGTATTTTCATTTAATATATATTCTCCAAGTTTTCATGTTTAAAAGAAGAAAAAGATGATAGGTAAAATGAAGAAGAAAAAAGACATATTGTGGTAAATTGAAATAACTATCAAATTAAAGTATGATTATGAAAAAAATTAACCATGTCTTGAATTTTTAAATTGGCAAAACTTTTAAAAAAATATCTAAAACAACGTTAACTTTTAAAAGCTAACGTAACGAATCTAAAATCTTTTTAAGAATCGAATCATAGCTATCTTATATTCGAAAATAACGTGGGCCAACCGGTTATCACTTCCTTCCAACATAAACGGCTAAAAATACACGGCGTAGCCTGTTTAGTTAAATAGAGATTAAAAAAAAATTATTGTTAATGATTTTTAAGAAGATATTGTATACTTTAATTAAAAAAATTTATATTTTTAAATATTATTAATCTCTCCTATTATACATGTTTAATTAAAATTAATGATAATAATTATTTCACGTAAAAAAAGAGTAGAATGTTATCTTAAATTACAATGCACCATAAAAATTATCTAAAAATATAATTAAAAAAGAAAAATAAATAAATTTAAGTTAAAAATAAAAAAAAATCAATTATAAAACATAATTTTTGTTTTTATTTTTTTAATTTCTTTATATATATTAAATTAATTTTTTAGTCTAAAAGTATTTTTAATTCAGAGTTATTTTTAGGTATTTGTTATACTATAAGAAGATTTGAGAAGTATTTTATACTTTTTGATTTTCACGATTGTAAGTATTAATATTTTTTAATTAATTCACTAACCTTATTATCTACTAGTATAAAATTAATGATAATAATTATTACACATATAAAAAATAAATCTTTTTAATTATGAATGGTAATATAAATTTTACTTTATTGCTATCGTTATCGTTACTTTTTTTTTATTAAATATTTAATTTTCAGTTATTTTTTATTAGATTTAATATTTTTATTTTTAATAAATATTTATGTATTTAAATTATAAAGATTGATATACTATATTAATTTAATTTTTTAGATATTAAAATTTAAAATTATTAAAGTCATAATTAATATTAATTTAAAATTATTTTTTGCATTTTTCTTTACCGTTCAACATAGTTTAATGTAAAATTAAAAAAATAACAGATAGCGACAATTATTTTTACATTTTAAACTTTAACAAATTATGTTAATAAAGATAAAAAAAATTCAATTTAATTTTTTATGATTTATTTTTTAACATAAGAATTTTATCTATTTAATTTAATAAGTTTTTTAGTTTTAAAAATTCGAATAAAAACCTTCTCAACAAATAAAAATAACTTATAATAAAAATTGAATTATTTTTGAAACTATTTTTTCCATAAACTTCTCTAAACTCTAGTTACGTATTTTAAATAAACGATTATTGTGTCAACAAAACTTTATTCTTAAA